TAAATATATTTCCATAGCTGTGTTTATACTTGTGAATTATTAATATTAAATTTATTAATACTGTTGGGAAACTACTTCATAGTTTTTCTTTTTTTTCAACTCATATTGTATTAGCTATTATTAAGTGCCTGCAATGTTATAATGCCTGAAATAAACAAGAAAAAGGCAAAATTCACAGTAAAACTGACTGAATACTACACATAACGAAGACGGTAGTATCAAAATTCTGGAGCCTATTGTGAATTCTACGGATAATCACTACAGGACACTCGAGTGAACAATTTTAAAATAAATAATATATCGATGAACAAGCCTGAATTTTCAAAATTTCTGTCGAAAGGTATACAAAGAATTGAGTATTTTTCATTTTTCACGTAAAAATGAATGTTTGACAACGTTAAAATCTAATTTATAAAGTATAAACGATTATTTGTAATTTTGTAATTTCTCGCAATATGAGCAGCATTTTGTTCCAATTTACATCGTTAAAGGCCTTTTTTAGGTCTATAAAAACTAAATTTATTATTTTATTTCTATAAATCGGGTTTTTCAATTAATACTCACAGTCCTAGAATTGCTTCTCGTGTACCTTTTTGGCTTCTTATAGATCATATTTAAGTACTAACTACTTTCTTTCAATTCTTCGATGTACTTATTACTTTTGTTAGGATTTTCAAGACGTTTCAGTAGATTCAGTGTTCTAAATTATCAACAGGAATTTGCTTCACGTTTACTTTATCTAGTAACAATTATACTTTTACAGTAATCATCCGGCACATCTCCTTTCTCATTTTTATATTCATTGTGGATTGTGGAATTTGTGGATAATTCAGAAACTTTTCGTTATAAATTCTAATGTAAATAAACGAACATTTTCTATTTTAAATAAAAAAATTATTTGAACTTTAAAATTGTAAAACCGATACATATTTTTGCACTTCACTTTGTATTTAATATATAAATATATATAATAGATTTAATATATTTAATATATAAATATATATAATATATTTAATAAAAGTATTATTTATTGTATCTTTTTGGATACATTATTTTAGTACTTATAGATATTGTTATTAATTTCATGTATAAATTGAATTTAGGTCGTAATATCTACATGTTATTGCGATATTGATAATTGTTGTTGTTGTTATATTTTTGCTTTAAAAGTTTTTCTATAATTATATTAGTTCATTACAAAAAAAAAAAAAAAATGTGTATTTATCAAGGCTTTAATATAAGGAATCCATAAAAAAATATTAATTCAATGTTTCAAAATTCGAAATCCGGATTTCGAGTGAAATCCAAATTTGAAATCCGAAATTCGGATTTGAACTTCGGTAAATTTGGTTTTTTCCCAACACTAGCAGAAACGTCACAAGTCACATATTTTATGAAATTGAGATATTAGTAAAAACGTATACTAGTCATGTGATTCTTTGCGTTTACTATAAAAACACTAATTATTAAAATTTATTTATCTGATAAAAAAAGTATAATTAAAGACATTTTTACACTATACACATAGAAACACATGAAATACACCGAATAACTTACAAATATGCTTATTTATATAATCATTAAGCTACAATTGTTTTTAGCATAAAGTAATTATAAAAAATAGTGTAAAATATAGGTATGAAAAAGAATTAAAACATAATAGATGTAATAGTCAGGTGTTAATTAAAATTTGGTGAGCAAAAAAATTTGTTTCGTTGGACCTAAAACCAAGATCACTATAACTCAGCCTTATAATTTATACGTAGTTAGAAACAGTGGTGGTTTTACGAATATGGGGGGTCCAAGAAGTCTGGATCCCACCTAGGTCACACATTTAGGTTCTTATATATTATATGTTATGTTTTTCTTGTTAGTTTAAAAATTACATTTTAAGACTTTAATAAATTAGTTATAAATTATAAATATGTTAAACATTTTTTGTCTTTATATAATATAAGATAATGTAAAAGGACCCTCCCAGAAAAAATTTAAAAAATCACCATTGGTTAAAAATGCATTTATACAAGTGTCGTCAATAAGAAAATTGTTTTATGACGTGCATAATTAACTTTGACGTTTAAGATGTTTTTGTTTTTTGTTCATAAATAGAATTTTTAAAAATAAAGTTCAATATAGTTTCATAAAATCATAAATGGTAGAACGATTTTAAATAAAAAAGGTCATCAGTAAGATCAATTTCCCTCCTATAAATATTTATTTATTTTTCTCGATGCTAAATCTGCCATTGTACACAATTATACCACCAGACAACTAAAAGTGTGTTCTGCAACAACTATCATGAGGAATATACCGTATACTATATTATGTACAGTATACGTGCAATAGAATTTTCAGTGACGTTATAACTCTAAAATTTAAAAAATTTTCAATAATTGCCTTGGAGCAATACATGATGAATTGGTTGAATATCACGTCACTATAGTTTCCTCTCGGTCACCAGCACATCGCGCAATGCGAGCCCGTACTCTTATTATTATAGGTTTATATATTCTAAGAAAATTTAAATTTAATTAATGAAAAACTATTATTATACCCCACAAATGGTAGCAGGTAATGTGAAAGAGTTTTTTCAGTTAACAAAGGCGACGAACGCCACCATGGCTGATACATATATATCGACCTTTCAAAAACTTTGCGAGCGACACGGATCGCGTGCATTTTGTGTAACATATTGTTCGAAAGTAGCGTGTTAAAACGAAACAAACAAAAAAAAAAGCAGCTCTTTTCGAGGGGTAAAAAATTAACTTTACACGTCCACGAGCGGGCGCGTGCTAAGAGTGCGTTATCTTTAAGTTGTCCCACGGCTATTTTAACGTTATTTGTGCGAAAGCCTATATCATTACATGTATACTGCAAGGGGTGGATTTCGCTCGATTACCCTTTTTTTTTTTGTTTCACATAAACATACAAACCACGTAGTACGATTCGCAATATACGTATTTACGATGTATGTCTTTATTTATGTGTATACGACGAGTAGGACGAACATTATGTAATCTCGCTTTTAACAAAAAGCGTTCAGTATAGACAATTATTGATTTTTTCCAAGAGAGATCATTGATATACAAAAATAATTAAGGAAACAACGTTATGAATATCTAAATTGTATAATTCTACTTGATTTATTTTTTTCTTAACTAGTTATTTATATTACCAAATGTCTTAGCGTTTAATAGGAATAAACGACTAGAGTGATTTGAACATAATTAGAGAACAGATGGACAGCTAATAAGAAAATTATTGGAAAAATTAACAAAACAAGGTCCCTAGAACTCGATGGATCGCTGTAATAACCAGATTTGAAAGATATTGACCAGACAGACCTTTACGTTGACTTACAACAAAGATTGATAGCGAGACTTCCTGAAGGTAGCAATGATTCTTAATGAAACGGTAAACTAAGATGAATAAATTTCATATTTATTTTTTTTTTTATGAAATATATCTGTCTAAAGAAAAAAATAATTTCGCAAATAACACCAAAGTCATTACATAATCGTTCGATGTCACAAGTTAATAGCATTAATGATTACTCAATCAATGTTAAATATAAGAAATACCTATACCTATATCTATACCTATAAAATGGCGTATCAAATGGTATAAAATAGAAAATTAAAATTCAGAAAACTATCAGTTTCTATGTATACTGATCAAAAATTACTAAAAATGATTTATGTTAAAATTTGTAAACTAGCCTTGTAACGCCCTAACACCAATTAATGATTTACTGGCAGGGGACGCATCGTCTATAAAGATAACGTATAAATTACAACAATTTACCTAATGTAAATGCACTTTGCACAATGAATTAAGACACCGGCATTCGATTACCTCTCCTTTCCCCAAAAACTTTTAAATAATCATAATTATAATTATTGTTTCGACGTTATTATTGCACGATCGTCGTAAAAAACAAGTAGGTGTTAAATATTTTTATTATTATTACCAATAATGTATTAAACATTAAAATATTGCTAAAAGTTATTGTTATTTTTTATATTTCATTATTTTTTGTTCATCATTTTATATTCAATTTTTTATATATATCATGATTATCAATCATGTATGTGTCCAGTGTTAATTTTAAATATTAGTTGCAGCTGGCCAGGTGTATAACATTGTTGTTCTTCAACAAATATGAGTTTATCTTTAAATTTATTAGTTATTTGTTACCATTAGTGTCATATTATTTTATATCAGTATTATTATTATTATTATTCTAGTCAACCAACTTAGATATAAACTTAAAAACTCACAACTATCAGACATTAAACAATACATTTCATTGTTTCTTCTTGTCAATAATTTCATATCCACATTATACACATAATTTATTATTTTCAATTTTCATTACATCTTATTTATTATTATTAATATTTTTAAACATTAATTACACTTAAATAAAAATTGCAGCAATTGATATAGTTTATCAATAATTATTTATTATTTATTTATTCAGATTATTACCAACCATATTTAATTTCAGTCAAGCGCAGGCAACCCCACCATTACCTGAGTTAATTAATAGTCTAGTAGAAGAAAGTTCCATAATTTAAATCTTATTTTTACAATCCCAACATATTATACAGTCCACAAATTAATTAATAGGTGTTGGGATGAGTGGCATATAATTTGCCACGCCCGTCTGTAAACCCCCCCCCCCCCAGGTTTATTTATGTATATTTGAAAATTTAAAGCTGACAGTAGTATAATAGTTTAACCCATACGTGCATACGAGATGGGTGCTAATTCTACAATTAATACTATTAATTTATTTAAATTTCATGAAGTATTAAAAAAAAAAAAAAAAAATTAAAAGATAACACGCTCTAATAGTGAGTTTTTACTATAAATATTATTCTGAATATAATAATTATCAAGTTTTTGTTACGCACACGTACGTTTATCCGTATGATTACGTGTATGAATGTACATGCATGTTGAAAACGATAATGTCATTATAAATTATCACTTACTCTGTTTTTCCAATACTTCGGCTGATTCCTCGCCATCTTCTTCGTTTTCATCACCGTCATCATCTTCTTCCGCGTCTTCTTCTGATTCTATATACTCGTCACCAGCTTTCATTGTCGGCAAAGGCAAAATGCCATCATTAGTCACGGGTGTCAGTGTATTACTGCTATGGATTTCTTGAAGTCTGTGATGTCGTGATTTCTGAAACATGTGAGGCGACACATTATTCTCTGAAATTAATTATATTGAAGTCCATAAATGTGACACACTGCATGCTAAGTATTCGCAGAGGCGATGCACAATAATTATTATATATAGCAACTGGATTAAGTCACATTATATACTTGTATATGTCAAGCGCATAACCGCAGTTTTAACTAGTATAAATAACGTGCTTCGTTAAAACAAACGACCATCAGTCCATGGTTGTATAATGTGTTATATAATTACGTTTAAGTTAAAATAAAATTAATCAACATACCATTAAGTTGAATTTTATCCCTTCGGTTTACAATGCAAAATATAATTAAATACCGGAAAAACTTTGGCAATAATTCAATGTATAATTATTTCGGTGGATATTTATTCGAGAGGATTGGAATTACATTTAATTTCAGTGACACGAGTATTAAGTTTCCAAATCCGTTGTTGACCTTTGAAATTCATGTATATAAATGCAAAGAGAATCGTTTAGAATTAATTAAGACTAAGAGTCTTCATGGGATCCGTAATAATGTTTCAGGTTATTCAACCAAAAGTAATTGAGAACAAAAAAATCGAAATGAGAAACCATTAGCCAAAAGTCAAAAAATGTATAGTAAAATTTAGAATTTTGTCACGAACTATAATAACCAGTAAAAACGAAACTTATAAATGCTTTACGGTACCTATTGAATAAGTTCAAATTTAATTATTTTAATATTCTAAACCAGTCGTGTTTTTTTATGTTGGTAAAATGTTAAAATTAATTTTTCTTCTTTTTCGTCTTTAATAACGTACCTACATTATTAATTAGACTATAAAATTAATAAACCTAAATTAAGTACTGATTTTATATCCAAAATATTTAAAAAAAAAATTATATATTCAAACTTTGAATGTATAATTTTTTTTTTAATTTTTGAATTTCAAAGTATACCTACCAAAAATAATATTTTCTATTCTTAGCTATTGTATACAGTATAGTATACAAGGAGCGAACTGATGTTTCTGACCCCTTGAATATTGATTCAACATTTTAAAAAGAAAGTGTTTTTACATCGATCAATGAAAACTTTATTAAAAATATTTTAATATTATTTGCTAATAAGCTCATAAGTATATAATACGAATAAATTAGTAGTTTATAAAAATATAAATAACTATTATTATATTTATTTACTAATTTATACCTTAACCTATCTATAAATTAGTTCTTCAAATTCATAAAGCTAAATACTCGACTGAATTGAATATACGTATAATGAGTAATAACTATAACTATGTTAACAAGTATAAAACATAAAATCTGTAGGCCATTCTCAGCACTAGCAATACTTTTTCTTATAATACTTTCATTATATATTAATTAATGATATATTAATAATTATAATATATTTAAAGTCATGATACCACATTATGGTTATTGTATGAGCAAATGTATTCACTAAACAATCTTGGTATAATAGATATTATTTATTGCAAACGCCCGTGGTCAAATATCCGAAAATAACGATAATCACATATAAAATAGTGCTCTTGATACCCGGATACCCGGGTACCCGGGTTCTACGGGTTTTAGCCGATTTACAACATTTCGGGTACCCGTTATGGACTGGGTACCCATTATGAATCGGGTACCCGGTATGATTGTATACTCATTACTAGAGCTGAGATTTGTATGTAAATATATATTTTTTCTAAAATATGATAAATTTTGTAATCTTTTTTTTTTTCGTTGCACAAATAAATAACTGCTATAAATAAATATTATTTTATACAATTTTACAATAATTTACTGTTTACTTTTACATTACAGTAAATTAGTAGCTATATGAATATAAAAACAGCATAGTTAACAAAACTTTTCAAACACCTATCAATATAATTATTCAATTATTATAATTTTTGTACAGTTGTATATTTTAAGTTCAAAGCGTAACAATGAAACTATGAATATATTACATGTCATCAATAATATCACAATTTTCTTTCTTTTTTTTTGGTCCTAGGGGTGGGTTTGAACGCCTCCCTCCCCGTATGTACGCCACTGATTGTGATTACTTATTATTATCTACGTATCTATACACATAAAAGGTAACGAATACGGCCACTATATCCGTTATCTGCAAGATTTAAATATGGGTTTTATAATAGCTTTTAACATATTATTCGACATTATACTTGAAAAAACTAATTATTGAAATATAATATCACTAATAACGTTCACATAAAATACTAAAGATTCATTTTTAAAGCATAATTTTGTTAATTTGAAAGAAGAAATAATTTAATATCTTTTATTCGAATAATTGTGTAATTTATAATTTAATACTGATTACCTCTTAGTAGTTAAGACTTAGCTAAACCATAAAATTATATCAAAAATCATCGGGTACCCGAACATTTCGGATAATGGGTACCCACTACCCGAAAACGTTGACTACCCACAAAATCGGGTATTACCCGGATAAACGGGTATCCGGGTACCCGGGTTTCTGGGTACCCGAGTATTACCCACATCAAAACAAGAGCACTAATATAAAATATCCGAAGTGAGTACAATGAACATCTGCAATTGAGTTTTGGAGTATGATTATAATACAAACTAATAACCTTACTATACATAATACTATATATACAAGCAATAATATTTTAAATGAAAGTATTGTAATATTATAATGAATATTAAAATCTAATGATTTCGTTGCCAAATGTGGCAACCATATTTTATATAATTTATTATTATTTAAAACATCAAGGGGTTAAATAGTGCAACGATCGATCCAATAGTGCGTAAAAACGTAATATTGTTTGTTAATCATTTAATATAGTTAAATATTTTTAAGCAGTGATGAATGTATAGAGGAAATATTTTTTGAAACGTGATCACAAAGTGCTTGTATAACAATATTATTATAATATATTATAATTATATCTGCCGATATTTGTTGAAGACAATATCTCGTTGTCTAATATAATGTTCCTCAAATTCCACTTGTCTCCACGTTGTGAAAATATCGAAAGTTCAAACATATATTTTCTTATTAATCACATTATTAATTAATAATTTTATTCTGATTAAAATAATTATAATCCACCAATATAAAAATAAAATACCTTGTTATACAAGACTTTAATCTTAAATGAACACTGGACAAACGATTTTATAATTTAGATAGAATAACAATAAATAATTAATAAGTAAATTAGTAATTAATAAGTACAATTTCAAATATTATAAAATGTTTTTATTTTTTATTAATTGCTGGCTAGTAGTAGGTATTGATTCTTATTATAAGGTGGCTAGTAAAATTGCATAATAATTGAATTCTTTAAATATTTTCTGTGATATTTATTAGTAAAATATCTGATTTGACTATTATCCTACGACATACACACCGAGCGTCATATACTTAATGTTAAAAAATCATATTATCATGTTGCGTTAAAAAAATAATGAATGAGAGAGCCACACTTTCGAAAGTGAAGTGCGAAGAAAACGTACTTTAGTGAGAGGCATCAAAATAATTGAGGACGATTGCAAGTGAAATTCCAAGTAAGAAAAAATTTCGATAAAAATCGTTGACGAGCGGTAAACAAAAGCGGTAAACCTTTTTGAATGATTGGGAGTTATGCGACTGAAACACGCGCGACAAGTAACGATAGTAAAGTACGTAATGGTCTCAAAGTCGGTTTACGTGAATCCATGGATAAATAGGATGCATATGCGTAAGGAAATGATCGATCTGTCCATCTGACCGTCGAATTGCATATGTACGGGAATGATGTCGACGCGGAGTATAGCGCTAGTTTACAAATATGTAAGCTATTGTACCTATATGTGAAACTCCAAAAGGATCGTTTAATGTTGCAACTGTGCTACCATCATGAATCAACTGACTTACCACAAACTCGTTCACACGTAGAGCCTCTAATTATATCGTATTTAATAAACTCAATGCTTTAAATGAATATAATGCTTACATACATCAAGTAATAATATTGTAAGGTATAGTGCGTCAGTGCCGAACTTATATTTGTGAGACTAAATAGAGGGAAAATATTATTAAAAGGCTCCTCAAAAAAAAAAAAAAAAAAAAAATGATACAAATCTTATATATTTCTTCAATTCACTTTGAAATAAAATTAGAATAATATGAATGTAATAGTAATATCTATCTTAGATTATCTATCATAATTTTGTTTTATATCGGTATAATATTTGGAAAAGCATTGAATTGCATTATCAATTTTTAAAAATAAAATGTTTTTGATATAATATTCTATAATTAATAATAAAATAATAAAAAATAATGTATAAATTAGAAAATGTTTAATATTCATAATTTTATAAATAAATAAATAAATGTTTCACTTGGACTAAGTCTTACATAATAATAATACATTATTATATTTGATTAAAAAAAATTAGAACCTGCATCTGAACCTCTAAAAAAAACCTCAAACTTAGATTTCGACGATTTGCACTTCTTGCACACTGGTAAATCCGTCATTGGGTCGCACTCGTATTGTATATACTCGTTTGGAACGGCGACATGTAATGTATGCTGCTGTTATTGATTATATGCAAACACAATCAAATTTCATTGATAATGTGACTTGAACTTGAGAGATGGATGATTGAGATGGCTAAGGGTCGTTGTATGTATATCATGAATAAAATGTACATATGTACAAATATAATGTTCATATATTACAACTGAAACAAACGCCAAATACCTAGCCATCGTCGGACAAGATTCAAACACACTCACACAATTGTTTACCTTGGTAATCCAATTTTTTTGGATGAATCTGTGATTGAAAAAAAAAAATTCTTTCTACAGGAAATTTACTTTTGAAAATAATTTTTTAAACGATAACTACATAATTTACATTTTAAATATGTTAAGAATATATATTTACATAAATATAATGAAAATATTTACAGCTTAATAATAAACGTTCTCGTAATTTACAAATAATAAGTCAGTTTGATG